ATGCATTTGCTGCTGTGCCTCCTGAGGCCAAGGCCCTCCTCGGTGTTTCAGGCATCTGCGGAGGTACTCAGAGACGCTCTGCGTCTCCTGGCCTGTGAGGACAGGGCTGGCCCGCCGATTCCCACAGCCCTGAGGAGGGTTCATTTCAAGGCCCTGCGGCTGGCTGCCCCTGGCCTCATGACCCAGCACCTGCCGCTGCCAGAGGAAGCGCTTTCGTTTGGGGTTAGCCTCTCAGGGTGTGGCAAGTTGTGTTTTTAGTAGTGTCTTGCAATAGAATTCCTGTAAGGGCACGCCTCATCCGGGGACCGTGTAAGCAAGGCTCAGGGTGTGTGTGTGTGGAGGCAGCTGTTTGTTTCTGAGCATGCTGATTACCGTACCCCATCAAAGGGGCTCAGGCCAGGGGGGTTGGGGTGGGTGGGAAGGTGGGGCTTGCTTGAGGTAAGGTAAGCTTCTGTGGCTAACCCTTGGGCTCCCGTTGATTGCACCCACCACGCATTCCGCTTGAACCTCATGCCCGCAGTGGGTGGGGTCTTGTTGGCCCATCGGAGACTGACAGCTGTGAGAGAACAGTGGCTGTCTTCCTGATGTCTGCCCTGCAACCTTTCAGGAGGTACACACAGGGACAGATGTGCATTCTGGCCGAAACCAGAGAGAGGCGTTCCCCCCAAAGTCACTAAGCCCCGAATCCTGGTTTCATTTTTATTTTGGGGAACAAGTGAAGGTTGGTGCCTTTCTTCACCGCCCCTTTGTCTTCATGGCGATATTTCAAAATAACCCCTGATGGCACGGTAGTTAAAGCACCGGCTCAAATCTGCCTGCCTCTCGGTGGAGAAAGGAGATGCAGCAGTCTGCCTCCATGGGGATGTGCAGACTCAGGAGCCCAACGAGGCACTGCTACCCTGTCCCGTAGGATCAAGGTGAGGGGTAACCGACTCATCAGCCATGGATTTGGTTTGGGGTGGACATGCATTTTTCCTCTTCTCCTCACCCATCCTCACCTTTGATGATGGAAGCATGTTAGCCAGGCCCCTCTTTCTCTTAAGAGCCGCTGAGCAGTATTATGAACCTGATTTGTGGGTTATGTGGAAGGAATGCTTAGCTAGTGAGGTTGTTTGTGGTAGTTACAGAATCTGGTGTCAATTTGGGACTTGAGAGGATAAAGAGTGAAGGGGGGAGTCGAGCCTGTCAACTGGGTCATAGCCAATGAGGCCTCTGTGTGGGCTTGGCCTTCTGAGGATTCTGGGAAATCCTATGTTTCCCTATTCCTGGCTCTTGGCTCACTCCCTATGAGACACTCTACTGACAAGACTTACTCCCTGTGAGACATCCCTGAGGAGAAGCTACCCTGATGCAGCCCTGGGTTCTAGAGAAGCCATGTGGAGACCCCTATCTCTGCTCAGATGCTTACAATGCCAATGGATCCAAAGACTTTCCGCCCACTGGCTTGTGATTGTCCTACATTTGGCGTCATTGCATGTGTTTCATGAGTCTGAAGAGGACTTTATAGATTGGTATTGGACATATGGGATAATACCAGACTTTTGGACTTGATTTGGACTCAGTTGGGATGGGTTATTAATGTACAATTACCCTTTATATAAAACGCTCTCTTAAACACATGTGAGTTTCTATGGATTTGTTTCTCTCGTCTACCCAAACTAACACACTGTTGAAAACTACACACACCCAAAGCAGTCCCTTTCCTTCGTTTAAGCAGAAAACCAAAAAAGGCATTGCCACTGAGTCGACTCCAACACCCAGCGGCCCTATAGGACAGGGTAGAACTGCCCAGTGGGTATCTGAGGCTGTGACTTACGTGGTTAGAAAGCTCCGTGTTTCTCTCGCAGAGCGGCTGGTGGTTTCAAACTGCTGACCTTGCAGTTAGCAAGGTTACCCAACGAGTAACCTTGACACCACCCAGCTTCAGAAGAGCCTTATGACTGCCCAGAAGAGTGAGTTGGGGAGATGAGTCCAAAAACCTTGTGCTGTTTGCAGGATAGTTTCATACAGGCCAAACATTGGGTTTTGAGTTTCAACCATATCCCGGCCTCCATTCAGATGCAGCCAGAGCTCGGGTCCAGGGTGGACTGGGAATAGGAATGGAACCAGCCTTCTCCTGGACTAATGAGGGTGGGCTCCAGAACAGCTTGTATATACCCTGTCAGCCATCCAGTCTGCTGGATTGAGGAAAGCCAGAGCCAGAGCCTGCACTCATCCAGGTCCAAGTTTCGGGTCCATGTGGGTCCATTCTGCATGCAGTCTGTGTTAGGCTGGGTTGAATAGAGAAACAAATCCACAGACACTCATGTATGTATAAGAGAACTTTATATCAATAAGTAATCATGCATGGAAAGAATATCCCAGCCCAGTCCAACTCAAGTCCATAATAGTCCATAAGTCCCTCTTCAGCACACACAGCCACATGCAATGATGCAGAATGCAGGGAGGTCACAGGTTGGTGGGTGCAAAATCTTGTGGATGCAATGGCAGTGAATGTATCTCCAGGGCTCTGGCTGCCATTAAGGTCAGCCAGCAGGAAGCTGAAGGCAGAGGGAGGTTCCAGGACCATCCTTATGGGAAGGCCACACTCACAAGGAGGTACCGTCAGTCTATGACCTGATTGACAGGTTGAATATTACCCCTACACTTTTATGTATCTTCAGATGAACCTGAAATCACGTAAGTACCACACAGTCCCTCAGTCAGGCGGGACTAGCTGTTGACTGTGTATGTGGGGAGTAGGGCTGAGACCCTCGGAATCCCAAGGCCCCGGGGAGTAACATGCACCTGGGGAGATGTCAATAGCACAGGGTGTCTTGTAAAGATGCCCAGGGAAAATGAAATAGTGCAGAAGTGACTATAAGAATTCAGCGATGCTATGTGAGTGTCACCTACATAAGGCTCAGGAGGGGTGCCAAGGGAGGGAGCAATGACCTAGTATGTATATGCCCTTCTGTATCCGCTCCTACTTTTGTCTGCACTGTAGAAGCATCTGTAGCTTGTCCGCATAGATCCCCAGTTACTGTGAGTAGAGCCTGACTCAGCTCACGCTCATGAGTGGCACAGCGAATCGTACTGCCATGGGTTTTCAATGGCGGCCTTTTGGACAGTAGATCACCAGGCACCTCTGGGTCAACTTGAACCTCGAATCTCTGGGTCAGTAGCTGAGTGTGTGAACCGTTTGTACCACCCAGGAACTCCATACATAGACACAGATAGAAATAGATAGAGAGGGAGTTGATTTCCTACTCACAGTGATCTGAGAGGACAGAATAGGACTCTTCTTAGGGTTTCCAAAGCTGTAAATCTTGATGGGAGCAGACAACCCCGACTTTCTCCTACACAACATTGGTGGGTTTGAACCACCGACCTTGTGGGTAGCAGCCCAACACTTAACCCACTGTGCCAGCAGACTCCTTAGATACAGAAACAGCTCACTGCCATCGAGTCAATTCTGCCTCATAGTGACCATATAGGACAGAGTGGAACTGCTGGTGTGGGTTTCCCAGGCCGGCCCTCTTCATAGGAATAGAAAACCTCACCTTTCTCCTGAGGCGCAGCTGGTGGTTTGGGACCGCTGACCTTGAGGTTAGCAGCCCAGTGGCTAAATCCATGATGCCATCCGGGTTCCAGATATACTATAGAAACCTTAAAACTAACCTTACTGCCTTCCAGTCAATTCTGACAAACAGTGACCCTGCAGGGCAGGGAAGAACTGCTCTGTAACTCTTCACCGAAAGACAAAGCCTGCTTTTTCTCCCATGGAGCAGCTGGTGGTTTCAAACAGTTGACCCTGAGGTTAGCAGCCCATGGAGTAACCCCTATGTCACCAGGATCCTTGGAGATAAAGATATAGGTGTAGGCATAGAGCTGTGGGGGAGTTTCCATGCTCCCGAGCCCCATATTTCACTTATTCCTCCACCTACTTCCTCCAGTCTTTCTAGAAGCATCTGTGAGCATTGCCTTTCTTCGTGGAGAATGGGACTCTAAGAGTCCCTTGCATCTTTATCCAGGCCTTAGCATGATCAAAATAGAGGAGGCCCAGAGACCCATTCTCAGGAGAGATTTCTCTGTGTCCTTGGCCCCGCCCTGGGCGGGCCCAGAGGTTTGAGTTAGCCCATCCCAAGGCCGGGGCATGCAGGGGAACATAAACGATCAACTTCAAGCAACACATTTATGATGCTGCCTCATCGAGCAAACTTTCCCGAATGCTTCTTCTGAAACCGCCCGTCTGCCTCACACAGTGCTGGGAGCAGGTCTGCCCCTAAATATGCACAGTCAGTCATAAGGCCTGGTGACAGATCTGTTCATCTGAACAGACCTTTAAGCATTGAACTCTTTCGAAGGAAACTGTCGTCAGCATGGGTAAGTCATTGAGGTTTGAGTTAGAGGACATCGGGAATGGCCAGCGGGTGCCTCCCGGGGTCTTGTGTACGAATTTTGTATTTAGACAGTTCAAATCTTGTCAGTTGATTCCCCTCATACATGTTGGGCCAGATCAGCATTTTCTGTGTTGCTTTTTTCCATTTTCTTCATATCGAGGTGTAGCTCGGATGTATTTTGTCATCGTGGTTAGCCCTCTTGAATCTTTGCTGTATGTTTTTCTGTTTTTCGGTATATGAAACACAGCATTGATGAACCTATAGAGCTAGCAGGTAGAATATGAGATCCTGGGAAGTACAGTGGGCGGGGGTGGGTGGTCAAGGGGAGATGATATCAAGGAATTCAAGAAGAAAGAACGTTCTGAAACCGATGGTGATAGGAATTGTACCACGATACTGCTTGATGTGATTGCACTGTGGAATAAGACAGCTGCATGATATCTGAATTTTGTGCTTGGGGCACAGACATTCAGGGCAGTAAGTTGAGAGGTGCCCGCCTTTGCCTGCCTGGCACCGTGGGAAACCTATGAGGTGCTGCGCCTCGGTGGCCGGGGCAGGGGCAGAGGTGCTGTGGGTGGCACTGCCACCTTCGTGATGTGCTGTGTCTTGTCCTTTCAGGGGAAGGTCCACCTGGAGATGCGGCTGAGCGAGGTCATCACAGACACGGGTGTCGTTTGCCACAAACTGGCCACACGGTAAGGCACACGGGATGGACGGTCACGCTTTATCTTCTCGCTGATCTCACTATCAGGAAGCCTGACTGCATCTGTGTTTTAACAAACACATCAGAATTTCCAGGCTCGCTGTGTTGCCAGGATGCCATCCTGTGTGAGCATCTGGCCTGGTCTCTGGAAGAGCCTCGGGCAAGCAAGGGCTCGTCTTGAGAGGGGATGTCTCCGTCTTGCCAGTGGCTGTAGCTCTCCGGCAGAAAGGTCACTCTCATGGTGCCGGCACTGCCCATGTCCACTTTGACTGCAAACATCATGGCGTGGGTCAGGCGCCTCTTCATCCTCTCGGTTTTTCAACACTTTAAGGAGGTCTCATGCAGCAGCTGCACGCAGTGCCCGGTGTCCTCTGACCGCTGCTGGTTCCGGGAGCACCGATGGGGAACTTCAATAAGGAAGACCTCCCAGAGTGGATACATTTGAATGAGGGTGCTGGCGAAGAATATTCAAATTGCCATGGACTGCCAAAGGAGCAAACAAATCTCTCTTGGAAGAAGTCGAGCTGGGATGGGAGGCTGGGCTGCCTGGAGAAACAAAACCAGTCCCACGTATGTGTTGTATGTAGAAAGATTTGTATCAAGAGATGGCCTATGTCTTTGATGTGCGGGCCCTGGCTTAGTTTTCTGCCCCAGTGTGAGGGAGGGGGACTTGAGTGTCTCCGGGCATGGGTCCTGAAACAGCTATCCAGGGCAGTGGTGGTCCAGCAGGGGGAAGTATTCTACTCTGTCATGCGGGAGATCCAGGTTCTCTCAGCAGCCAGGGCACTCCATGCGTAGCCCCACCCATCCCTCAGCAGGGGCTAGCCCCTTCTTTGCCTGGATGCTGAACAGGTGTCAGCAGAGCTTCCAGACTACGACAGGCTATGAAGGAAGGTCTACATCTCACTGATCCCCACCCGAGTATGGGGATGGCACAGGACCGGTCAGCATTTTGTTCTGTCACCATGAGTAAAGGGCCCACTCAATGCTGGCAGCGAACTACAAAAGCACCCTCCCCCTCTTTTTTCCCCAGGGAGGGACAACAGTATTCCTGATATTAGGATGAGAAATGTGGTCACCCTGAGGAGGGTCATCATCAAGGACGTTGGGCCATATGATAAGGCACCTCCTCAAGATGGTCCTTCCAGTAAATTTAGTGGCACATGTTCCCCGGCAGAAGCACGAGCATCCCTTCCTTGGCCCCTCTCTAACAGTCTTCCGATATGTAGCAGTGTCTCCTCGTTGAGTGTAAGAGGATGCTCTCAGTGCGGTCCTTGGAATGCTGCCCTTCCACATTGCGGGTTAAACACGGGCTCAGATGCTATGACCTTCATCCGAGTTGCGGGCAGCATCCACATCTTGTGAACCGTTGAGGGCTCTCAGCCATTCATTATCTCTTCATTCTTTCTTTCAGCCATGATGAGGCATGTACTGCAATATTTCTGCTGGGGCTCAGGTGTGCCAGACACGAGCACCCTCCAGCTCAGCAGGGGGTGACAGATGCTGACTCTGCGACAGGCAGGGTTAAGGGGCTCCACCAGGAGACAGGGCAAGATGCATGCAAACAGGCACTTGAATAATGATTCTTAGACGCAAAAGCCCTGGCCTTGCTTAAAAGGATGCTTACAGACGCGATCGAGCAAGCAGATGGCATTTTTGGTAGCATTAATAATAATAATAGGGTTCGTCCAGTCATTGTTGTTGGTTGGTTTGCTTGTGTTGTATGATTGTGTTTTTTTTTTTGTACAATTTTCTGTATATGAAATCCAGGATCGGTGGGTCTACAGTGACAGTAAGGTTCTGGCCGGAGGTTGTGGGGAGGTTCTGGGAGCTAACAACCATGAGTATGAGAAGAAACATTCTGAACTTGAGTTTGGTAATGCTTGCATAGTTCTTCTTAATATGGCTGGATGGTTAAACTGTATGATATATGAAGTACATGCCAGTGAAACGATTTCAAACAAACAAACGAAATCAAGCCCGCAGCCGTGGCGTCAGTGCCGACTCACAGTGGCCACGTGGTGCGCTCACTCATGTATTCAGAACCTGCTGACCCAGTGAGCGAGTGAGTGAGTGCATGGCACCGCCATGGTGCTCGGCCCCCGGTGCCTATCAGAATCTCGCCACCATGTTTTGTTTTGTTTAAAAGCACACAGGCCCCAGCCTACCCTAGACTAGCTGGAAATACTCTTGGGTTGGTATCTGCATACTTCAACGCTCTATAGAGGGTGCTGAAGGTGGTGTAGTGGGTTACAAATCGAGCAGTGAACCACAAAGTCGGCAGTTCAAACCTGCCAGCCACCATGAGGGAGAACGATGAAGCTGTCTGCTCCCATAAAGGTTTAACGTCTAGAAAAGCCCCCAAAGGCAGTTCTGCTCTGTTCTTTAGGGTTACTAGGAGCCGGAATCATCTCAATGCAGTAGGTTGGGTTTGGTTTTCAGGGATGGGGAACCTTTTTGTGGCAAGGGCCATTTGAGTATTTATAACATCAATTTCAGGCCATACTGGTCAGACATTGCATCTGCTCACCCTGAAGGACCCCTGGTTGGTGGGTGGGTAGTGGTGATGAATTGTCTTCTAACCCCAAAGCCAGCCCTTTGAAACCACCAGCCTCCCCAAGGCAAAAAGATGAGACTTTCTACTCCTGTGGAGAGTTACAGTCTCGGAAACCACAGGGGTAGGTCTACCCAGTGCGATAGAATCACTGTGAGTCAGAATTGACTTGTTTGATGGCATTTTATTTTTAGTTTAAAGGCGCCCTGGTGGGGCAGTGGTTATGTGTTGGCTACTAACCCCATGATCAGCAGTTTGAAATTACCAGTTGCTCCGAAGGAGAAAGACTAGGATTTCTATTCCTGCATAGAGTTACAGTCTAAAAAGAAAAAAAGCGCTACAGTCTCAGAAACCCACAGGGCAGTCATGCCCTGCCACATAGGGTCTCTATGAGTCAAAACGGTCTTGATGGCAGTGAGTTTGGTTTGGTTTGACATGATGGCTGGAACTGCCACGGTGAGGTGTGTGATGTTAACTAGTGCTGACGGTTTCACGGACCCTCTATGGCCTGTAGGCCAGGCATTCTGCACTGGTGGTTGATGTGATGTTGGTGTGTGCCCACTGGTCGACTCTGTGTCTGGCCTTGTGCCAGGTGCTTAAATGTGGAGGTGAGCAAGGGCCATGAGGTTCGGCCTTCATGGGACTGGCAGCGCTGCAGGGACGAGAATATCTGCAAATGACGAACAGACAGTGTCACTACGTTGCAGTACTGTGGCACGAGGTGGTGGGGTCCCAACTTGGGCTAGTTGTATGGGGGTCTCTACTGATGTTTGTAGCCAAGCTTCACGGGAGCTACATTAGTCTGTCCTGCTCTGGTTGACTGGATGAGTCTGTCCTCTCTGCTCCCTGGGAGCTCTTGGGAAGAGGACAGCCTTCAACACTGTAAGGACTGACCTGAACCATAAGCTTTAAGCCAGCGGCTCTCAACCTGTGGGTCGCAATCCCTTTGGGGGTCGAACGACCCTTTCACAGGGGTCGCCCGATTCATAACAGCAAAGTTACAGTTATGAAGTGGCAACGAAATAATTTTATGGTTGGGGCGGGGGGTGGGTCACCAAAACACGATGAACTGATGCTTGCCAGGGCCACACCGTAGACCTTTAGATGCCATCCCACCCGGAAACAGTTCTCGTTTTGCCGCCCTGCCCCAAACAAACCAACCCCGCTACCATCAAGTCGATTCTACTCATAGTGACCCTGTGGGACAGAAGGGTCTCAGAAGCTGCACGTCTTTAAAGGACAGAATGCCTGATCTTTCTCCCACCCAGCAGCTGGTGATCTTTCAGCTGGCTGCCAAGCATTTTAACAGCGTACCCCAAGTTCGCTTCCCGTTTGTCCTATACTCACTGCCATTGAGTTGATTCGACTCATGGCAACCCTACAGGCCAGGGTAGAACTGCCCCTGTGAGTTCCGAGACGGTAACTCTTTATGGGAGTAGAGAGCTCCGTCTTCCTCTGGCGGAGTAGCTGGTGGTCTCAACTGGCTGAGCTTGCGGGTAGCCCCCCACACACAATAACCGCTGTACCACCAACGCGCCTCCCTTTTGCTCTCGCCTCTGTTACTTTGCGTTAGAGGTGGTTTTGTAGCCTCAGAAGCATGTGCTCTCCTTGACTGCTGGGGGATTCTCGGCATCGCTGGCGCCTAGCTGCTCATCCTCAGTAACAATGGTGTGTTGAGGAAGCATCGGGAAGGTCCCTGACCACAGCATAGCTTATCAGCCAGACATCCAGAAATGCCCGTGTGTTTCGCAACTACTCATGCCCTTTGTCTGCTTAGCATGACAGGAGGTGGGGGCAGTGGGGGATCGTTTTAAGAACAGTGAATTTAAAGCCAGAAATCTTGATTGAGATCTCATCTGGATTTTGCCACTTACTATGGGTGGGGGGGACGGGGCTTCAAAAAATTCCTGAAATGCTGGAGTTAAAAGATAACGGAAACTTTCCATGCATCTTTTGAAGCTCCCTCCAAACGAAATGAGTGGCTTGTGTGCCCTATTTTCTACATCTGAAATGCAAATGAGGAAATTCTGCCCTGCTTTCATCCAACGGTTGTTGTAAGAACCGAACTGTCCCTGCAGCTGTTCATGGGGACGTCGTTCTGTGGCAGAATGCCCGCGTTCTGTGTGGGTGGCCAGTGTACCTTGTGGGCAGCCACCGCCTATAGGTCTATCTGCGGAGGCTTACGTGTTGCTAGGCTGCTGAATCGGTTTCCGTGAAGCTTCCAGACTAAGATGGATCAGGAAAAAGGCCTGCCCACCTACTTCTGGAGTCAAACCAGTGCGAATCCTCCAGCACACAGCCGTCTAGTCGCCAGCCCATCATGGGGATGGCAATGTGGTAGATAGGCCGTGTGGTAGATACCTAATCTGGTGTCAACTTGAGAAGGGGTGGAGTCTAGCCTGTCAATCAGGTCGCAGCTTGATGACCTCATTTGGAGG